TAAAAGCTTTAGATTAGGTTAATTTTGTAGGTTGTTGTTTGCTTATTGGTGATTTGGTAAATGCTTTAGATTAGGTTAATTTTGTAGGTTGTTGTTGTTTGCTTATTGATTGTTTTTATCTTGTTATTGTTATTGCTAGAAAAAAAAATGGAAAGATTTTTTAAAAGGAAAGCATCAACACCTGAATCGAGCTCTGCTCCTTCGATGCCTAGCGAAATTGATTTGAACGATCTTCCTTGGGATCCGGCCGATAGGAAAAAGATTTCGGAATATCATCCTAATCAAATGGATGAAATAAAGAGAAAATACTTGCTTAGAGGACCTTGTCAACCACGGGGTCATGCATTTCCAAAAAAATTTGTCGGGAGTAAAGGAAGACGTTTTTGTCCGACTTGGTTTGATCAATATGCTAATTGGTTGGAGTATAGTGTAAAAACAGATAGAGCTTTTTGTTTGTGTTGTTATCTGTTTAGAGATCATCACGTAGGACAATGTGGGAGTGATGCTTTTGTAACAGATGGTTTTAGTAGTTGGAATAAAATGGAAAGACTTGGTCTTCATGTCGGCGACATCAATAGTTTTCACAATAGAGCACTTAAGAAAAGTGAGGATCTAATGAGCCAAGATCGATCTATTGCTATTGCCTTTCATAAGCAAACTGAGAAGGAGAAGAATGAGCACCGAATACGATTAGATGCTTCAATTAAGGCCTGTAGGTTCTTGTTGAAGAATGCATTGCCCTTTCGTGGTCACGATGAATCTGAAATGTCTATCTCTAAAGGCATGTTCTTGGAAACATTAGCCTTAATTGGTGATTGCAATGAGAATGTAGGTAAAGTTATATTAAAAAATGCTCCAAAGAATAATCAAATGGTGTCTCCAAGTATTCAAAAAGATATTGCTGCTTGTTTTGCAAATCAAATACTTAAATCCATTCGTAAAGAAGTTGGTGATGATGTGTTCTTATTGCTAGTTGATGAGTCTAGTGACGTTTCTAAGAAGGAACAAATGGCGGTGGTTTTACGATATGTTGATGCACGTGGTATTGTTAAAGAGAGATTTTTTTGGTATTGCTCATGTGAGGGGACATCTTCTTCAATTCTTAAATCTTCCATTGATAGTTTATTTGTTGAACATGGATTGAGTTTGAAACAGGTAAGAGGGCAAGGTTATGACGGAGCAAGCAATATGCGGGGTGAGTTCAATTGATTAAAGGCCTTGATCTTGAATGAAAATATCTCGGCATATTATATCCATTGTTTTGCTCACCAATTCAATTAGTTGTTGTGGCGGTTGCCAATAAACATGACGGAGTTGAGAACTTTTTTAATATGTTAGGAATGGTGATCAATGTGGTGAATGCTTCTTGCAARCGTAAAGACATGYTTCGACAAAGTTACAAAGATAGAGTGCAAGAAGCAATTGGTAAGTGTGAAATTGATACTGGAASAGGGAAATGCCAAGAGCTTTCTCTTATACGAGCCGGAGATACACGGTGGKGTTCTCATTACAAAACCATTTTGAGCTTGATTACTTTGTTTCCGAATGTTGTTGAAGTGCTCCKGTATGTTGAAGAGGACGGGGATAATGGTTTTAGTCRCACTCAAGCAACTGGTATTTTAGCATATTTGAAGACATTTGATTTTGTGATTTATTTGCATTTGATGTTTCATATTTTAGAGGTCACAGACTTGTTGTCACGGGCTCTTCAAAAAAAGGATCAAGATATTTTGGAAGCGGTTTCATTGATAAGAGGAACCAAACAACTATTGCAACAATTTAGAGAAACTGTTTTTGATCCACTTTTGAAGAAAATGTATTCTTTTTGTGAAGCAAATGGTATTAAGGCTTTGGATATGGAATACCGTTATTCAAAAAACGGAAGACAAAGGACCAACATCACCAATTGTCATTATTACAAGTTTGATATTTTCAACATTGTTGTAGACATGCACATTCAAGAGTTTGGGGATCGATTTAGTGAGGTAAGTACTGAATTGCTTAAAAATATAGCAGCTTTGAGTCCATGCGATTCATTTTCGCAGTTCAATGTATCAGATTTATTGAAGTTTGAGCGAGTTGTATCCTCAAGATTTTAGTCATATGGAAAGGATCGCTCTTGAGAAACAACTTAACATGTACTATTTGATTGTGCATCAAGATGAAAGATTTGCCAATTTGAGTGGTATTGCCGAGCTCGCTAGACTGCTAGTGGAAACAAAAAAGCATCAAACTTATCCTCTAGTATATCGGTTATTGAAGTTGGCTTTGGTTTTGCCAGTTGCTACTGCAACAGTCGAAAGATGCTTTTCTGCTATGAAGATTGTGAAGTTAGATTTGCGCAACAAAATCGGTGATGAATTTTTGAATGCTGCAATGATATGTACTATAGAAAAAGAAGCACTTCTCGCAATTTCAAATGATGATATAATTACTCAATTTCAAAAGATGAAGAGTCGTAGGGAACAGTTGTAAGAGGTAACTTTTTATCATTTTTGTATGAAATTGAAGTTATTTATTATTTTATTTTATATCGTGCCCCCTACAATATATTTTTCTGCATCCGCCACTGCCGAGAGGTTTTGATCGCACGGAGCACCATGAGCCTCTGCATAGTACATGCAGAGCCTCTGGCTCGCCTATATAGAGCTCTGCATGACGACATTTTTGGTTCGTCTATGATCCCCCTCTGGTCCTTATGATCAATTTTCCACTACAATGCAAGGGGCGTAACCCCTTAACTCCTGCCAAGGTCATAAAGTGTGCACTCCGCACCTCCTAACTTGTATTAGAACACAATATAAAACCCCCTTAGAACTCGATGTTATTTCCAGTTACACTTAAATGGTCTGATAACACTAAAATCACCAACAATCCTCCCCTATTTTAGTGTAACCCATGAAATAACACTTTAAAATGAACAAACAAAACTTGCACATAAATGACAATATCGAATCGATTGAATTTCCATGTTAGCATTTTACACATTTCAAATATTCGAGAATCAAGGTGTCCCAAGGATTGAACCCATCAACTCATTTGGATACCTGAAGATAAAATACATACAAGTTTACAGCACTTTTTTAGCAAAATAAACTGACACTATTATAAAGTCGTGTGTCCTAATCTTCTCAAGATTGTATAAAGGGCCAAGTCTCTAACCCTGTTGAAGTGCGGCTACACTTCACAATCACATAGGTAATTCCTTTACTTCGTGTACCTGCACATACACTTCATCAAAGGAATTATTAAGAAGATAAGCTTCAACCTTTCAACTGCAGTACCAAACACAAACCCGGGATGAATCAATCTTGTGTTCCAATTTATAAGTGTGAGCTTGGCACATTGAATTCAACTTCCATTGTCATATTAAAAGGGAATTGGGTGTCTCACCACTATAAATTTATAAGGACTTTAATCCCATCCCAATTGCAGACTTGTGCACTAAGTCTCTAGTAAGACCTTTAGTTAAATGATCTGCTAAATTATGTTGCATTTTAACAAACTCAACAGAAATTACCCCATTCATGATCAATTCTATGATCATGTTGTGTCCAGAACCCATGTGTCTAGAACCCATGTGTCTAGACTTGCCATTATAAACTTGGCTATAAGCTTTAGCTAACGTGGCTGCACTATTGCAATGAATAAAAATAAGTGCAATCGACTTTGACCATAATGGAATCTTATAAATCAAATTCTTTAGCCATTTTGCCTCTTTACTAGCAGCAACTGATGCCACAAAGATTCCATTGTTGAGTTCGTGATACAAGTTTGCTTCTTGGATGCCCAAGATATGACACCTCCCTCAAGCAAAAATACCCAACCACTAGTTGAGGAGTGGTCCTCCATATTGGATATTTGACTTGCATCTGAATAACCCTCTAAAACCGAAGGATATCCCAAGTAACAAACTATAACTCATGGTTCCTTTTTAGTATTTAAATACTCTTTCAACCGCTCGCCAATGTTGAGTAATAGGATTGCTAGTGTACCTACTCAACCGTCCCACAACATATGCTATGTCGGGCCTGGTGCTTGTCATGGCATACATCAAGCTACCAATGTCCTTAGAGTATTTTAGTTGTGAAATAGGCATTCCCGTATTTAGCATTAATTTCACACTATGATCCATAGGCGTGCTTACGGGAGAACATCACTATAAATAAACTTCTTGAGAATTTTCTCAATATAATGAGACTGTGTCATTACAGTCCCTTAGTTATCCCGTTTAATTCTTATACCAAAAATCACATCAACCTCTCCCATGTCTTTTATGGAAAAATTAGATGACAACAATTTCTTAGTTTCATCTACCTGATTTTGATCAATTCCAAAAATCATCATGTCATCTACATACAAGCTATTGATCACACCAGCTCCTTTAGCATCAAATCTGCTATAAAAACATGTCACATTGGTTTAATGCAAAACCACATGACGAGATAACTTCATAAAACTTTTGATGCCATTTTTTAGGTGCTTGTTTTAGCCCATACAATGATTTTGCCAGTTTACATACTTTATGCTCGTTACCGGGCATAACGAAGCCTTCTGGTTGTTTCATGTAAACTTCCTCACGAAGATAACCATTCAAGAAGGCTGTCTTCACATCCATTTGATGGATAATCAGATTGTATATTGCCGCCAAGGCGACTAACAATCTAAGAGTCAAAATATGTGCTACCAGAACATACGTATCGAAATAGTCAATACCGGGTTTTTGCTGAAACCCTTGAATGACTAACCGAGCCTTGAATTTATCAATTGTACCGTCCACTTTCATCTTCCTTTTGAAGATCAAGTTGCATCCAATAGGTTTAGAACCTAGAGGCAAATCTAATAACACCCAGGTGTTATTTTCAAGAATTGGTGACATTTCATCATCAATTGCTTCCTTCTAGAAAATGGCATCTCGAGATTCAATTGCTTCTTGGAAGTTCTTTGGGTCATCCTCATTACTGTAACAGTAAGAGTGTTGAATCCCAAGTTCATCCTTTGATCCTTCCAGGGGAAATAGAGTTGGAAATTGGGACCAAATTTTTGGTAATTCGGTCTGGTTTGCTTCTTCAGACCTGCTGTGTTTCGGGACTTGAAACACCATATAAAATTTCTGGATTTTGAACTTTATCAGTGTTAGGAATCAGGTGTGATAACCGGGTTCTGGTTATTACCCAAGGTATTTATTATGTGAATTAATTATTTATGTGGATACATGCTTACAAGGGTTATATATGTGAGTATGTGTATTTTTATTCATAAGGATATATGCATAATATGTAGATATATATATATATATATACACATATATATGTGTATAAAATATATATGTGAAGTGTGTATGCCTGAGGAGTATGCATAAGTTTATGTGTGTATGTATGTAAGAAAAGTTATGTGTACATGCATGCATGTGGGTGAGGGCCTGGATGGCCGACCTTTCCTGTTTTAGAAAGGTATAAAAGGGAGAGTTTGACCTTCATTTCATTCCCTTGCCATTTTTGAAATCCTGTGATGATCTTGAAAAAAGTTGTCCGATTATCCAAGAGGAGTTTAGCAATCTTCTTTAAAAATCTGAGTTTCTACTTAAGGTGAGTGATTTTTAAACATTTTTGCCAAAAATTTGTTTACTGGTTTTACTTGAATGTTGTTTATTATAGGAAAGAAATCAGTATTTTAATTAAATCTTTATTCGGACAAAGGGTAACCGGACTAAGTATAAATCGGACAAAGCTTGTCCGAATTACTCTTAAACCGGACAAGAGGTGACCGACTTAGTTGTAAATCGCTCAAGAGACATGCGATTTAGGGAGTTAGTGAGATTTTGAATTATGTAAATCGGACAAAGGTTTTGAACGGAGAAGTAGGAATACGACCAAATGTTGTGCGGTTTAGTCTTAAATCGCCTAAGGGTTGTGTGGATTAGTTATAAACCGACCAAGTATTGAGCGGTTTAGTTTTAAATCGATCATGTGTTGTCCAGATTGCCTTATACCGGACATGAGTCATGCGATTTAGTCTTAATTGACCAAGGGTTGTCCGGATTAGTAAATCGGACAAAAGGGACAAGTGTTGTCCGGATTGTATATCCGGATAACTTATATTTGATAATTTTAAGTGTTTAATATTCTAAGACATTTATGTAATTTAAAAATGTTTATTATTGGGTTTAATTATGAATTTATAAAAGGGTATTTTATATCTTTTTAAATAAAAAGATATGTTCCTACCAAGCATGGTGACATAAGTCTGTTTTGGTATGAAATTGGATTTAGGAAAATGTTTCTACCAAGCGTGGTGACGTAAGTCAGTTTTGGTATGAAACTATATTTTGGGAAACCTTCCTACCAAGCGTGGTGACGTAAGTCTGTTTTG